TTAAAAGCACAGTTTCCATTCAGGGATCTAGACTCTGAATCTCACTAAGGCAAATGGCAAAGCTTTATCCAGAGATTTTGGACAGTTCTGTAGTCAGGGCCTTCCTGTCACCCCTACACCCAAAGCCCACAGGTACAAGAAGGAGAGTTGCCCTGGGTAGAAGTAGGTGTTTTAGTGGTGCCTTGTTCCCTCAATTTACAAAAAAAAAAAAAAGGATTTTTTTGTAATATTTGCAATAACTTCCAGAGATGCAGTAGTAACTTCTATGCCGAGTTTGCCAAGGTGAGAGATAGAGCAATGGATGAGAGACTAAAACTATCCTGGTGTCTTAGCTATGAAAACGTATGAAAAGCTCTTAAAGAAAGATCAGAATACTCAAAAGCAAAACAGATATCAACAGTTTGTTTATATACATTGAAAATCAAAAAGCAACCCAGCAGCACTGCCTAGTATTCGAAACAATATGCTTACCTTTGGACTAATTCTGCTTTTAGAATCTACCCTCAGGAGAGAAAGTCTTGTATAATTGGAAACAACCAAAGTGTCCAATTGTGCTTCAACCTAAATATTTCAACTATAAGAAAGAAATTGATTGGAACACTACATGGTAGTGGGTGGAGGAGCTACCAGAAAATATGCCAAAATGTGGTATCTCTTTATGATGGAATTATATGAGTAATCTTTTTTCTGTATGTTCCATATATTCTATATGGTATGTGTATTAAGTTCCAGAGAGATACAGATTCATTACAAAACTTTAAAAAGATATGCCCACCCTACCAAATGGCCTTCATATCATTATAAATGGTTTGAATGTTTTCAGACAGAATCTCTGAGGGGAAGCGTTGCTGGGCAATGCCATTAGATAAAGTCAGGGGCTTGGGGTGCAGCTCAGTGATAGAGCGCTCGCCTGGAATGTGTGAGGCCCTGAGTTCTGTCCCCAGCACCAAAAAAAAAAAAAAAAAAAAAAATGTATGGAAAGGAAAGAAAAGGCAGGGGCAGAACAGTCTACCACTAAAGCAAACCTGAGGAAGATAAGAGAAAATGATCTGTTTGCCCCAGAACAAAATGTCAATGCTGTGTGTTATAGACTGTGCCCACAAGGGCCAGACTGTGTGACATCAAGCGCTGCTTCTCTACCACTCCCCCTTTGCCCCCGCTGTGGGTGATACTTTGGGAACTGCTGCCCAAGGCACAGCAAAGGATAAGAGAAGCCACCCCGGAAGGCACACCCTTCTTCACAGACTGCCGTCCACCAGGCTGATGCGGAACTCTTGGGTCTTTAGATGAGGGTGTTGGGTCCACATCTAGTAAGTGACCCCTGAATATCATGGGCTCTGAAGAGACTTGCTCTACAGGTCATGAGCTACAAAATGTCACTGACCCTGCCCAGGCAGCTAAGTAAAGCGCCATCTAGTGTAAAATGTGGTGCCCGGGAAGCCATGGCTGCTCCTGTAACAGCTGCTTGCTATTCGAGACCAAGTTTTGCTTTTCCTGAGGCCTCAATAAGTACTGATCAATTATTTATCCCTGTTGGGTGACATAATTTCATTTCAGTCTGCCAGTGTTTATCATGGAGGCTCACTCTAATTGCATAGTTTGGGGCGTTTTCCTATTTTCTCTTTAGGGCACCTCACAGCACCCTATCCCCCCCCTCCACGTCTAACTGTTGCTATGCCGATTTATTAGTCTCTGCTACTGGGTACCTTTCTGAAAGATAAATGAATTTCATTCTGTCTTTAAATATTTATGTTTCTTTATAATCTAATATATCATCATGGTTATAGGGGAATTTTTTCCCTAACTATAGAAAAATACACCATCAGTTACCTGTCAATTTTGTTTAATAACTTGGCTTTGCAATTCTGGCACAATGTTCATCTGAAGCTGTTGAGAACTCTCTCAGTCTCTCAGTCCACTTCAAAGTGTCAATCTGGGATTTATAAAGGTCTTCATTGCACAGAGGATATTGAAACATTAAGGACTTAAGTGGCATGCCCTTCGTCACTGTCACCCAGAAGATCCAGGACTAGCAATCCAGGCATCTTCATCTTGTTGTTTGCTCCCAGCAGAAAAGAGCAGTCTCTGTAGAAAACCAGCCAGTATCCCTAGAAACAATTCATCAGACTTTTCAAAAGAAATCCAATTTCATCCAGGCTGATGGGTTCAGTGTTACTCCTTAAGATAAATGAGAAAAATATCAACATTATAATGCAAAGAATTCCAATTCTTTTGGTTTAGTCTCAGTGAAAAGCATCACAAACCCTTTAACAGCAGGCTTCTGTGGCCTTCCCTAAGGCTTTTACGGCTGGCGGGAGAAGATGGGGATGGTTTTGTATTTATTCCCCTACCAAAGAGACTCTGGCTCCGAGTCCTGGCTGGCTCAGAACCTTTGACAGTCACAGTATCTGTGTCAGTGTCTCTGCACTCTGCACCTTTAAGAAACTCCCCAGGTAACTATTAGTGAGGCCCTCTGAAATTCAAGAACTACTAGTCTAGAAACTGCAGATTTCAAGTCCCTTCAAGCTTCAGAAGCATCATAAGCCCCAAATTCTCATTCTATTTGTAAACCTTGATTTGTACGTAAGTTATTCTCAGGCAATTTTTTGCATGCCTATTCTTAGGAAGTTTCCTAAACAGACAGCTCTGTTCCTCACAGGTATAGCTACGGGAAAGCACATTAAATGATACAGGCTCTCATTTCTTAAAATAAAAGCCAGTGTCAGGGAGGAGGCCATTGTGTGCCAGGGAACCTATGAAGACAGGACAAAAATGGTGCATCTTCCTACAGCATAAGATTTTCTCTAAAATATTATTTGTAAATGTTATTGTCAAATATTTTAAAATTACAAGAGGTATACTGAGGAGTGAGTGCAAAGCTCACATGGGTATTATGCTAAACATGTAACTTCAAAAGGTGTCCTAACTGTAGCTAATATGGCTCCCGGGCCTGGAGGTTAGTTCATTCTGCTCTTCTACCAGAAATGCTTTTGTCACATTCAATGTTACCCTTGACCAGGGGTTCCTGCACATCAGGTTCCATGGGATTAAAATGAATACACTTTAGAAACCACTACAGAAAATTGGTCTGAAGAGGACCCTCTACGAAGGCAATGCTGAACAGTCTGCTCCCAGGAGACACTCAGTAAAATAAGCACTTTCATTCCTGCCACATTTTAGGAATGTTCACAAAAGAGAATTATTTTGCAGGGCACAGTGGTGCACACTATAATCCCAGTTACTCGGAAGGAGGGGGGCAAATTCAAGGCCAGCCTGGGTAAGACCCTTTCTCAAAAAAAAAAAAAAAAAAAAAAAGTATTATTTCTCTTCTCCTAATTTTTCTTTTCTTTTTCTTTCTTTCTTTCTTTCTTTTTTTTTTTAACCAGAATTGAACTCAGGGGCACTTGACATTGAGCCACATCCCCAGCCCTATTTTGTATTTTATTTAGAGACAGGGTCTCACTGAGTTGCTTAATAGCCCTCGCTTTTGCTGAGGATGGCTTTGAACTCAAGATCCTCCAGCCTCAGCCTCCTAAACTGCTGGGATTATAGGCTGTCATTTTTAAATAGTACATTAGTTAGAAAAGTAGAGTAAGGAAAGCAGGAAAAAAACATCATATGAAAAGACACCAGAACTCTTCTTGATTACAATCCCATTGTGTAATTTTTGAAATTATAAAGCTCCTTGAATATATTCTCTAGCCAGGATGGCCTCATCTTTCCTTAGGATATATACATATACCTATATTATTTTTTCAAAATGTTCTTGATGAAAAAGAAACAAATCAAAGGTCCTTATTCCAACAATACAGGATTTCCGAGCCAGTGACCCTGATAAGATTTGTGAGACCCCTTTACCGGCAGGAGTTACCTTGGGCCTGCTCCCTGGTCTGTCCCTATGACCCTGGCAAAGCTCCAGCCCTTTGTGTCAGGAAGAGAGAAGGAGATCCAGACCTGGGAAGGCTCTCATGTCCTTTGCTAAGAAGCTATGGTGGCAGAGGTGGCTCGGAGCCCGTGCCAAATTGCTCCTCCTGGGTAGTTTGGAGTGACCATGCCAGTAGTAGCTTAGAGTCCCCCGGATGCATTGGGGTATAGTGGTGGTAATGTCCATTTTAGGAATGGCGACTCTCTTCACCTTCTCACACTCCCGCCTTCACCCTCTCCCTGGGGTGGAGAAGATGTGTGGCACTTGAATGCAGGGTTGCTCTTTCTCCAACATCCAGCCAATGACCCCTTGCTCCTGCTCTCCCCTCCATCTGGAATTTCCTCCCAGAAGCCGCGTCTGACCAAAGCCTAGGCCTGTGAGTTGTCCCCCTGGTCCCACACCCTCCTCTCAACAGTGTGACTTTTCCTTCCTCTGCTGTCGATTCAGTCTGTGTACACCTCACTCATGGACATGAACATTCTTCTTTTGAGTTTTCTGTGTCTGTGAAGAAATACTAATGGGTTTGGAGTCAGCATCCTGGGTTCATATCCTGGTGCAGGAACTCACTGTCTTAGTGATATTGGGCGAGTCCGCTAACTTCTCTTGGACTCCGTTTCCTTTTCTGAGAAATGGGAGTTACAGCTTCCTGGGTGCATCAAGGATTGGACAGGAAGGAACTCAGTCAACAGCAATGTCATTATTTCTCTTCTCTTTACCTTTCCTCTGTGCTACTTAAGGAAAGGGGCCCTTTCTAGCTTATGGCTATTACTTCTAGCTATTGACACATCATTGTTTCATTCCTAATAAGAGCTCCTCTTCATCAAGTATCACCATTCTATGCATTAATTTAATTCTTCCAATAACCCTAAAAGGTAGGTACTACTATTAGCCCCCTGTATGGAGGAAAAAACGAATAGTTCCTAGAGCATCCAGAAATGAATGAATGAGCAAGTGAACGAAGGGGGGTTGAATGGGACCAAACCTGCCTGCCAGGGACGAGTCACTGCAGCGGAATAGTAAGCATTAACACCCCGCACATTCCTGTCTCATGTCACCACCGCGTCCTATCCCGCAGGCAGTACTACGAGATGCTCTACAACACGGCCGACGAGCTCCTGAACCTGGTGGTGGACCAGGGCGTCAAGTACACGGAGCTCGAGTACATCCACGCCCTCACCCTGCTGCACCGCAGTCAGACCGGCGTCGGGGACCAGAGCACCCAGAACACACGGCTGCAGCGGCTCAAGGAGATCATCTGCGAGCAGGCGGCCATCAAGCAGGCCACCAAGGACAAGAAAATAACCACGGTGTAGGGCGCCGGCCTGGGGCCCTTCCCCCCTCCGCCAGACCCGCGCCCCCTTCAGCTTAGTTTGTCCTCACTGATAGCTAGCAGAAGCCGGGCTGAGGGCTTTTTCTTGAGTTTTGGTTTTCCATGGGAACTCTAAAGGAAGTTTGCAGTACCGATGTCGCCAGGTAACAGCGATTTTAACGCATTCTGTTCTGCAGGGGCTGGGGTGGGACAGGGGGAGGGCACATCAAGCTGTTACAAGCTGAAAAACAAAAGAATGAATTTGTGACACTCAGTGATGTTTGATTACCAGCATGTAAACTTCCACCTTGGGAAGTAGACTGCCACCTAAGTTTTAGTCCCTTTCTACAACCACTTAATGGGGTTCTCCTACATGAACAAAAAGATTTTTATCCCCTTTAGAGCCTGATGAAATAAGTGTATGCTCATTGCTTTCTGACTCTGTTGCCAAAATTAAATAAGTGGCTTCTCAGCTGGCTGTGACTTCCAACAAATTTCCCTCACCAAAACAGGAACTCTCCAGGGTTAGAAACGAATGCCCTTTATCCACATGGCTGAGCAAACTTGTATGCTGTAGCTTGTACACAGGGTATTGGTTGGTTTGTTGCCTTTTTCTTTTATTTTATAAAAAAAAAAAAAAAACAACATAAAATTAGTGACAGATACGGAAGAATGAAAGGCAATTCAACCCTCTGCCTGGTTTTCCCCTCTAATTTCCAAGAGAAAATAAGGGTTAGAGAATGTTCCATCTCACTCAAAATTTGGGAGATAGTGATCCTGAGGTCCTCACTTGTCCTCCTGCCAGCACCTCAGTCTTTCTCACCTCAGAAAGCAGCCCAGGTCTGCTCAGCTGAGTGCCAGGACCATGAGACAGCTGTGACCTTTCTCCTCTGTGCAGCCACCTGAGCCTGTTTCTAATTGCTGTTCTGTGGCGTGGGTGGGCACTCCTTGTGTTTCTGGCCCACTGGACCGGACCTTACCATTGTCCCCAGGCTCCCAGATCTTCTGCCTGCCCATGCCTCGTGTGTCACCAGAGGCCACAGTCACTGACTGGGTGCATATTGAACACATAAGAGCCAGAAGGACTTGAATGTGCAGGGTCTCTCACCTTGTGCCCTGGCGTGGGGAGCTTTATGCCTGTTTGTAACAACTTTGGTCTTGATGGAATAAACAGAAAATTAAAAGATGGTTTGAGAAGCTTAAATGTTGTGTGTTGCTTTTCTTGTATTCTTCACTCAGCAAACATTCCCTGAAGGCCAGGTATGTGTCAAGCCACCTGGCTCTGGGCACATATATAAAGAGGACATCCTTATTATGGCAGAGTGTAGGAGCTGCACTCAACTCAGATCCCACCAACCTCTGCTCAAGACTAAGCCAGAAACCAGGCTGGCCAGTGCAGCAGCTCTGCAGGGACCCAGATGCAGACTGCATGATGGCCTTCCACAGGCTTCTCAGGGAAGGAATGTGACAGAGCTCTGTAGTTCAGAGGCCTGGCTGGAAACAAGTTGAATCTGTGTAGGAGAAAGCTATGGGAAAACAGGGTCCTCCACAAGGTCATTGGCATTGGTGTCCCCAGGAAGGAGGGAGGCCAGCAGAGGTTAGAGTGGGCCACTTTTGTTTGTAGTGGCCTCCCTCTATGCCTTCTCTTCTCTTTCCTGTCCTCTCTAGGGGGAGAACCTGAGTGTTGCCAGAAGAGCCAGGGGAGGAGTGGGGAGCGCCTAGGAGAGCCTCCCTGGATGTGGGGAGAGACAGGCGTTTGGGTCGATTGAGTAGAATGCCAAAAACCACTGAGAGCCAGCAGAAAAATGGCCACAGAGCTGCTTCAGGGCAGCATTTAGGGAAGTGGGACCCTTACTGTGCTTACAATAACGATGCAATTGAAACGTGTCAATTCTGAACAGAAAAGGGAGTTCAGTGATCTTTGTGCAAGACATTCCAGACACAAATTTCTTGAAGGTTGGAACATCAGTCTTTATTCTTCAAAAGGTTAAGAATCCCCAGTGATGCATTCAGGGGCTGGTTGAATGGATACAGCTGGAGATGGCAGGACTGTCCTAAATCTGCCATCACTAGGGACAGTGAAGGTTTCTACATGTTATGGCCCCGCTTCGGAGGTGTTTGTGAGACAGGTTTTGCACTGTTCACAGCCATGACTGAAAAGTGCTCCAGAGAGCCAGAGTCCACCAAGGACAAGCCTCAACATATACACACACTGACATGTAACCACAAGAGTCACATTCTCCCACGAAGGCCACCCTCTAGATGTGCAGTTGCAGCTAAAAAGATCAACAAAATAGTCCTTACCAAAGGGGCACCAAAAATAAAATAAACCATATTCTCATTCCTGGTTTTCTTTTTCCTTTTTCTTTTTATGTATGTCTGCATGTATTGAGAAAAAGTGTCACTGTGTCACCCAGGCTGGTCTCAAACTCCTGGATTTGAGTGTTCTCCCCCCACCCCACCCCCACCCCAACCTCCCAAGTGCTGGGACTGCAGGCAGTCACCGCCACACCCAGCTCCACTTTCTCCCTACACAGAAGGGACAAGTAGAACAATATACAGCTGGCCCAAACAGTGCTCAGGTTCCAAATCTAGGGATTCAGACAACTGTGGACTGAAAATACTCAGGGGGGAAAAAAACACATGTGTACAAACAGGACAGACTTCTTGTCCCGTCATTAGTCCCTAAACAAAACTGTACCACTGTTTACATGTCATTTACATCACATTAGGTATACAAGTAATCTGGAGATGGTTTAAAGTTTATGGGAGGATGTGCGTAGATTATAGGATAATAAAGCCACTCCATACCAACTTACTGGAATGTCTTCAGATTTGGGCATCCAGAAAGAGGGGCCCTAGAACCAACCTCCTGCAGATATAAAGGGATTACTACAAGGGGAACACTGTCTGTAGCACTAGTCACAGATCATGGAGAAGGCTCCTGTGACTAGGCAGGGTCCTGAGATGGCCATAGACATAACCACGTAAGAAGGAAGGCTTTGGTTGTATCACCCAGCCTGGTGGTGATACAACAACAATAGTTTGAGAAAACTAACTTCTCTGGTCACTATTGTCTACTCTACAGTGCTTCACAAGTTTTTCATTTTGTCCCCACAACAAACCTGTGTCCTAAATAATACTTTCCTTTCTATCATACCCAAGGGATCAGAAACTACTAGAAGCTTCTCTCTCAACTTAGCTACCTTTAGAATAAATTTCTTTAAAAAAAGAAAAACCAATTTAACAGATTAGATGCAGTTCTTAACTGGCAAATTGTGTTCTCAGAACTGCAGGTAGTAGATGCTGCTGCAGGGTTTTTTTTTTTTTTTTCTTGTTACTTTTAGCCATCTTATTATCACCTGTCAGTACCCCCTTTTAATTTATAAACAAAATTATGCTTTGGTGCTATTGTGCCCTTTACCCCATGAGCACTCATTGAAAATACCTGGCCTATGAACACAGATACTTCCAGGGCTTTGATCCTTGTGCAGTATTTTTACAGCTACATCAAAATCTTAAATCTTATTTCCCAATTAGAACTTTCTCCCCTTCATGCTAATGTCCCTGCTGATTGGACAAGTGTACCTTCCTCAAGTTGCCCTTGCCTGAAGCAGACAATTCCTGCTTCCAAGCCCTGAAAGACAAGTTTGTTTCTGAGTGGATCCAAATCAGCTCAGATTAAGGGCAGGGCCAGGCCTGAGCTCCTACAGCCTATGCTCTTGAGACAGGCACTCACGAATGAGTGGTGGGACCCTCATCCTGAGTCACTGCATTCAGCAGAGTGACCTCATTGACAGAAGCCCCAGCCCCTCTCCAGGACTGCCTTCTTACTAAATGTTTTCAGCACCTCACACTCACAATCTCGTGCTTCAAACGGTTTGGGAGGAAAAACAACAGTCAAACTGAATTGGCAACCAAACCCTAATGACTCCTGCTGTCAAGTCATATGCAGGGATTTCTTAGCACTGATGCATTCATTCAGTAAGTCAGGAAGATATAATTGCCTGATACAGCTCAGGTGGTGTGGGATTCATGCAGTGGCAAGCCAATGAGACAGGCCTTGTGACATGGAGCTTATATACTTCCATCTGCTTCTTCAAGCCACCTCTTACAGAATTCATATTCTCAAAGACTGCCCTTTTATTTAGCAAGATATTTCATAGGATTGACTGAAATGTTCAGCCTAACCTCCTGCTGCTCTCTTCTGAGCTCTGCTTTTCTATAAGCTTGGGACTGTCACTATTCATGTGCCCTTGCAGGCTAGCACAGCCTGGCATTTCACCCTTTACCATTCCTTGGTAAAGCAAATGGATCTCCACCTCATAGGCTCTATGAATGGACCAAGGCCACTGCATCCAAGATTCTTGCACTGAGGCATAACTATTGCTGCCTCCCCAGGATCAGGACACAGAAATTTCCCAGGAAATAATGAAGGAGAACAGAGTCCACCCCCAGGGCTAGCAAGCCCAAGCTAGATTTACTCCATTTAGGGTAATTGTGATCCAAAGACCCCAAAACGTGACTGTCCTAGTAGGATATAAACACAAGGAGAGTCCTGGTCAACAGAATCTTGCTTGAAAAGCAAAGTGTTGAAATATGCACACCTGAGAGCAATCGCCTTAATGTGGCAGGGATGTAAAACAAATTGGGCATAATTTGGAGGGAGGGTAATGAGGTACGAAGAACAAGAAAACATAAAGAATCACTAGGCTCGGCAAAGGTCTCAACTCTGTCCTAATTAGGCACAGTTGTTATAAGAAGTACATAATTAATAAGCATATGACCAGATGTGAAATACAGTGGTTTTTTTTTTTTTTCTTCCTGAAATAGAAGTGGTAATGAACTGTACACAGCTGGAAGCAGTTGTCCTAATTTGGCTGCGGCAGAAGGCCTGCCTGGGATTTTGAAGAGATGTAGTAAGATGCACGCCACAGGTTTACACCTGAACCAGCTAATCCTATTCCAACTGGGCTGGAGTGTAATGAGATAGAGCTAATTATCAAGGGTGCAATGAGACGCAAAAGCCATCAGAGCTGAGCTGGAAGTTTCTTTAAAAGTGAACTAAGATGCAAACACCAGAAAAGACTTTCTGCTAAGGGAGCGAGGCAGGTGAGACTGTGATGGAATGCACAGGACTCGCTGGGTGGGGGTGGGGAGCTGTAACATACCTGAGCCAAAGATGCGTCTGTGATTAAAAATATCTCCAGGACATTCACACACCTGCAGCAGGAGCTCCTGGGATCCCAAGAATGTAATGACCTGTAAAAGCCAATCCCTGCTTTTTAAAATGAATATACAGCTCATGTGTGTACACACAACTGAAAAAAAATAAGTCAAGGTGCTTTCAGGTGAGTGGAGTTCCCATTACACATGATCCCATTTAGAAATGTGGCCTCTGATTCCTGCTGACTTAGCAACACTCTAGGAGAAACCTGACTCCGAACAGAAAAGCCAGGCTGAGTTCTCTTTCTCAGGATTTATTTACTGTGAGAGATCAGGAAACCATTAGCAGCCAGGTTTGGTTATTGGTTTTATTTTATAATTGCCATTATATTATTTTAAGCACCAGTTTTTAAACAATTGAGTGTCAGATGCTGTGCTAAATCTTTATCACATCATTTCATTTCCTCCCCACGATGAGCCTGTGAT